CCCCCCTCAGTCCCCGAACCTGTCCTGCAGCTCGGCCACGTTCTCGGCCGTCACCTCCCTCCACCCGCGGGGCCCCACGTGGAAAACGCGCACGGTTCCCCCCGAGTACGCGTCCCTGCGCGCCGCCTGGTAAATCGCCCTCCGCGCCAGCGCCGCCGCCTCGGCCTCGGTGGCCACCGGGCTACAGAGCCCCCGGTCCAGGACGCCGTAAGCGTAAGAGGAGCCCGAGCCGACGGCGAAGGCGGAGCCGGCAACGCGCTGCCCTTCGCTGTCCACGTAGTACAGGCCTGGAGGGGGCGGGGGGGGGAAAAATGGCATGTGGCTACCAAATCTGGAAGTGTGGCTACCAAGTTTGGAGGTGTGGCTAGTGAGTTTAGAGACATAGGAACAAGTTTCGTCATAATAGGAATCAATCTGGGCACGTTAGAAGCGAGTTTTGGGGTGTGGCTACCAAATTTGGCAATGTGGCTACCAAGTTTGGAGGTGTGGCTAGTGAGTTTAGAGGGTCAGGAACAAGTTTCGTGACATTAGGAATCAATTTGAGCATGTTAGAAGCGAATTTTGAGGTGTGGCTACCGAATTTGGAGTTGTGGCTACCGAATTTTGGGATGTGGCTACCAAATTTTTTTGCGTGGCTACCTGATTTCCGACATGGCGAGTGAGCGTGGCGATGTCAGGAGCCATTTCAGGCCTATTAGGACCCACTTTAAGGCTGTGGCTACCAAACTTGCCGATGTGGCTACCAAACTTTTTTGCGTTGCTAGCAACTTTACCACATAGGAAGTGAGTGTGGCCATGTCAGGAGCCATTTTAAGTGCGTTAAGAGCCATTTTGGGGCTGTGGCTACCAAATCTGGTGATGTGGCTACCAAATTTTTTTGCTCGCCTAGCTACTTCCCGACATAGGGAGTGATTGTGGCCATGTCAGGAGCCATTTTCGGTGCTTTAGGAGCCATTTTAAGGGTGTGGCTACCAAATTTGCCGATGTGGCTACCAAACTTTTTTGCGTGGCTAGCAAGTCTAGCACATAGGGAGTGATTGTGGCCATGTCAGGAGCCATTTTAGGTGCGTTAAGAGCCATTTTGGGGTTGTGGCTACCAAATCTGGTGGTGTGGCTACCAAATTTTTTTGCGTGGCTACCTGATTTCCGACATGGGGAGTGAGCGTGGCGATGTCAGGGGCCATTTTAGACATGCTAGACCCCATTTTAAGGGTGTGGCTACCAAACTTGCCGATGTGGCTACCAAATTTTTTTGCTCGCCTAGCTAGTTCCCGACATAGGGAGTGATTGTGGCCATGTCAGGAGCCATTTCAGACCTATTAGGAGCCATTTTAAGGGTGTGGCTACCAAATCTGGTGATGTGGCTACCAAACTTCTTTGCGTGGCTAGCAAGTCTAGCACATAGGGAGTGATTGTGGCCATGTCAGGAGCCATTTTAGGTGCGTTAAGAGCCATTTTAAGGGTGTGGCTACCAAATTTGCCGATGTGGCTACCAAATTTTTTTGCGTGGCTAGCAAGTTTACCACATAGGAATTGAGTGTGGCCATGTCAGGAGCCATTTTCGGTGCTTTAGGAGCCATTTTAAGGGTGTGGCTACCAAACTTCGCCATGTGGCTACCAAATTTTTTCGCACCAATAGCGAACCCAACGGGTCAGGCACCGTTGTGATCCAATCCCGTGCCGTTCCGAGTCATTTTAGGACCGTGGCTATGGAAACCCCCCCATCATTCTGCCATCCCAGTATCCCCCAGTATCCCCCAGTATCCCCCATTACCGGGCCCGCGCTTGTCCCATCCGCACACCATGGTTCCCAGGCTGAGCCCCATGCCTTTGTACTGGTAGACGAGGTTGGCCAGCAGCTTGGAGGCGGCGGCCACCGAGACGGGCTCTTTGTTGCGCAGCTCCTGCACGCGGCACTGGCGAGCCACCAGGCGCTGCCAGAAGGAGCAGTCGGCGGCGCCGCCCGCCATGGTGCCCAGGATGCGAGCGTTGATGGGGAGGACTTTGAGCACGGATTGGGAGGCGATGTAAGAACCCGCCGTGGCGCGGGAGTCGACGGCAACCGTGACGCCCAGGGGGGACTGAGGGGGATATGGGGGAAAATGGGGATGGGGGAATGGGGA